TTGAGTTCTTCAATCGGATTCACCCTGCTAGCCATCTCCCGCAACCTTATTTGATTGCCGTGAACTGATATCTTTTTACATTTCTTCGCTGGGTCTTTTGGGCACCGATTCTAAGTTAACCACTAGGCATGTGCAAATGACAACATGATCCCATTTCTAAACATTGCCATTTTGAAACCACACATCGGCCTGTCATTACGAAACCAGGTTGGTAGACCAGTTGGTTTTAGACTTGTCATTGTAATGTTTGAGGTTATATCAGAAGCACCTGTTGATGACCGGTAGTCGCTTGTGTTCAGTGGAGCTCAGCCTTTATCCACCGATCTTATTTTGCATCGTAGACACAAAGCAATAGTTTGCTTGGCTGTTGGAACGGTCGTGGAAATCAGGCGTTCATCATGCTGCTGTATGAGTAGGTCTGAGCAGACACTCGCTAGCGGTTGGCAACCAGCCCTTTCGCAGGCGATCCTTTTGTTCACCTAAAAAGGCATTATGTTTGCTTCATTTCTGACTTGGCTCTTCAATTTCCCTTCCAGGCTTGGAAATACCGGATGTGGAGGCTGAAAAATTAGTCAAACCTTCGGACGTGGTGGAGCTCCTTTACCAAAAGAAACTACGTAGAAGTCGTCTTGACTAGCTTTGTGTGTTTGTTTTTAACATTGGTTTAGCAAATCAAATGCTAGCGAGCGTTCATGTCTCGCTAGTTGTATAGATTATTTAATACTTACTAATACTGACGGTGCTTTCTTCTTTCGAATTACGGGGTATAAAACAGATTTGGAAGGCTAACCTTTCCCTGCCGCATGTTGGGTAGTTATAATCTGTGGCTAATAAAATTATTTGTAAAATTTTCATGGACTCCGCCAGTTAAAATTTCACCCAACTTGCGGCCGCTTTGTCTTCTGCAGTAGAATGCTTTACTGAACTCTGATTGCTTTCCAAACTTGATTTCTCCTTTTCTATCCGTATTTTCTTCGGTATACGTTTGCGACCTGATTTGTACGTTGACATTTATCTGCCCGTTTTGTGGGCAGAGTGAGCTGAGTACCAACATCATGCTCTGGGTACATGTCCCATGCATCCTTTTTAATTATTTCATTTCTTCGATGCACTGAACATGGTATAACTGCAAGTAATTGCGGTTCTCAATTGATGTAGTGCCTTAAAGAGTGGCCAGGTATGCTAGACGATCTAACTATAACTTCGGCATAGACTCCTCTTCGATGGACTTCTACCAATTATGTGTGCCTGTACTATCTGAGAGTTCAATGTTATGTTTCGTGGGTTTGCTCCTTTGAAAGTTTTACTTCGAAATCTAAACGAATGGGACACAGGTCTGATAAATTCGCCAACCGGGCCTTCGGCTGCAGGTTCATTACATGTCGTGTGGGTTAGCGTCTCAGTCGCGCTCGTAAATGCACACAGAGGAACTCAGGGGAAAATTTGAAGACTGTATAAACAGCAAAATTTAATGGATCCATAAATTTCG